AAAATAGCATGAATGTTTAATCTGAAGTGAACGTGTGAAAACTGTGAGCTGATGGTTCAGTTTACGGACTGTAGTCTACTGCTATTGAGCATCCTGAGTGAGGTTAAGGAGCGAGGTTTTCCTAAATGCCATTTACATAAAGCATCAGGTTCGCCATGGGTAAGCCTTGCTGTGCTGATGTTGGTGCAGGACCAAATGCTACAAACACAAAGGACTCGCGGCATCTGCCTAGTCTGACTCGGCCCGACCCGGCATGCCTGCTGCGGAGAACATGAGTCGGATTTTTCTTCTGGCACCTGGTGCGTTCACTGCAGCCTTTGCTTGCTTATTCCCCAAGTTACTGGGTGTTCTGTAGCTATTTTCTGACCATAGTCTTGATTCTTGCATTTCTGAGTAGCATCATGAAGCAGCTTCTCACAAACTTTAAATATTCTTTTTCTTCCTTGATGAGAAGAAAAGGATGAAATGTTCATAGCTCTTTTTTTTTTTTGGATGGACTGACCTAACCGCCATCATTTCACTTTCAAGTTGAAAGCAAGGCCAGGACATGGTTGAAAAGATGGCTAAGAGCCCCGCTTCTTCCTTCAAGAGTCTGGCCAATGCAAAGATAAAACTTCTGGAAGTGACTTACTTCCCTGGTTGACACTCAGCGAAAGGTAACGCGGTCAGTTGTGCGCACATGGGTGTGTCTTGAAAATAGTCAAGAACTCTACTTTTTTAACAAGACTCTTTCACTGAACTATAAAGATTTTTTTTAATAACCATAATTCATTCAACTGCGACCCTGCAGAATGGGTTAAGGCTCCAAACCTTTCACCTCTAGATTTCCACTAAGTGGTAATTCTTCGGTGCCTTTCTCTAAAGCAACAAAAACTGCAGTTGCTGCTGAAGTCTGATCTGGCTTGAAGTCTGACCTTTTATTGTTAAAGAAAAAAGGAACAGATTTAACTGAATTAGTTTCCATAATGTACTTGCAGGCAATTCCACAGTCAACAATATCAGTGTAATACCATTGTTTGTAAGAATGTGAAGTATTGCCATACGCAGGCTTGAGCCTGTAGGTATGTGTCGGTGGCTGCGTACTGCTGACGAAGAACTGCCTGTAGTTCAAGGAGTAGGAGCCTTTGTGGCTTCGGAACAAGAGGATCTGTGTTCTGCCGTCAGCCAGTGGCCCTGGACTGCTGCACAGCGGCACTTGGGTCAGCCCTTCGTTAACCAAGCACCGCACAAATGCCCATTGTGTCGTCTTGTGAGTGTGTCTGTGCCTCTTCACGTATGCGGTTCTCTATCTTCAACACTATTACTGTTTTTTCCTAACGTGGCTTGGTGGTTCTTGTCCAGTATAGTGAGAATTAGGTTGTCAAGTAATAAATCACTTTACCTAAGCTCCTTCTTATCTTTTTGTTGGGATTAATTTGTTGTTGGAACTCTAAATTCTCTTCCACATACTTGTTCTCTACTAATTCTGAAGCAGGTGCTGCTGCATTGGCCTGCTGGCTTCCAAACCAGAGTAAACCTTCCAATAGGTTGTGCATCTGTCTGATAGCGTAATACAGCTCAGCACCAAATTGCTTTGTGCTTCCAAATGTAGACCTAAAAAGAAAAAAAAAAAATTGAAGGCAGCTGAGCTACCGTAGTAGGACTAGTAAGTATGCCAATTTGTATACTAATGTCCCTTTAGGTTTTGGGTTTTCCAGTTTGTACCAGACACTTTCTGCAAATGGCTGAATCATGTGCCCCGTTTTGGTACCGTTGCTGTTTTGATGGCACTGTGTGCAGAACTGACTGCCGCTGCTCTGCGAGTTACTGTCGTGTGCCTTTTGTCAGTCAAAAGGAGGGGTTTGCCCCTAGAAATTCCCTGCAGTATTTGTTGCCTGTTGTTCCTTATAATAACTGCAAAAGGATGAAATGTCACAAAATAAATAATTGTTTATGGGTATATTTGTTAGGGCAACCAAAAGCTTTAGCTGCAAAACGGGCGAATCAGTTCAGGTACATTTTCTGTTTAGTGCCAGGAAGTTAAATTGAATGCTGAGATAGAATCCCCCTTTATCTTTTCCTCCCTGATTTCTTTCTGCTTTGTTTCCAATTTATAGCTTTATAGATAAGGTGTACTTCACTATATTTTTTTTTTCATGTAAGCGTTATTAAAACTTCACCTTCCAGCACAAATCCCAGGAGCAAAGCGGGTTTGTTGGTATTAGCAAGGTTTGCCGAGGACATAAACATGCTACAGGACCTTGTCAAAGGGATCAGAAGCATCACCGAAGTATACATCAGAGATTATGCAAAGTCCTAATCTCCATAGGGGAAGCTGGGTGGAGTCCAACCCAAGAACTAAATTCTCTTGCGTCATTTATTTTTCTGCTGCTGCGGATATGTAATTAACTCTCAGATCTGGGGTGAGGCAGAAATCAATGTAAGACTGGGTTTATGCTGGCAAGCTGATGGGGTTTTTTCTTATTTTTCTTTAAGGTTCTGATAAAACATCACATGCAATGTAATGTTCATGCCCTAAACCCTGATTTAGGTGGTCTAGCTGTTTGTTTCTGTGCTGGTGCGGGGGTTTTGTAAACATCTGGGAATCACTGCGTGCTAAAGCAAATGTTTCTTACTACGTTATGGCCCAGGAGGCACACAGTTGTCAACATCACACTCTGAGTAAACTTAAAAGGTCTCTTATTAAAATATTTGTTTCTTTTTCTTCTTCCCCACCTCACTTTTCAGGTTGCGAAGGTGCTAAAGCATGGCTGACTTGGATCACAACCTCAGTCTTGCGGATGCTCTGACAGAGCCGCCTCCCGAGATTGAGGAAGAGGTGAAAAGGGACTTCATTGCCACTCTGGAGGCAGAGAAATTTGATGATGTGGTTGGAGAAACAGTAGATAAAACAGACTATGTTCCTCTGCTGGACGATGATGATGCAAAAGTTGGGAGCCAGGAGCCAAAAAGCAAACCCCATGCAGACGGTATTCAGGTGGAACGTAAGTGTCTAAAGCACAAGGCCAAAAAGCCGCATCACTTAAACACTTTTGCTGATTGTAATATTGCGAGGCCTGCTAAAACAGGACTTTTATATGTTGCTGGGTTTAGTCTGAACAATTTACTTTAAAAGCAAACGTTGAGATCAAATCCTGTCTCTTGCTTTTCTACTCTACTGTCTATTCAGTTCTTCAGCCTGTAAAAGAAGCTAGCATTACTGCTCCACAGAAAATGCTGTTATTTATGTTAGGATTTTGTGGATTTCTTGGAAAAAGCACTGTCCAAAGCGTGTGACTGCTACGCTTCTATACACAGTGCTTTCCACCTCAAAACAGCAGCGCTGTGCAAGATACCACTGCTCTGGGTAACGGCAAATCCAGGGTGTAAAGATCGCTGACCTGCTGTTGCTGCCGAGGTCTGCAGATCGGCATCTCCGTAAGGCCCATGCTGCATGTGAGCTGCAGGCTCGAGTGTTTCGTAGCTGAAGCTTTGTTTCTCCACCCCTCCAAGGGGCTAATTCTTTTGACTTCTTGTTGTATGAATATCCTGGTTCTGTGCGTATACAGTAAAATGTGGTGCTGTCTCTGCTGGTTGTGAACATTTACTAGCCCAGTTGATGTTTATTAGTGTTAATAGCTTTATCACTACTTAGAAAAAGGAGAGGTTTAAACAGATACTTGCTTCCCTAGCAGAGTAAAGAGGAAAGCAGTGAGATTTGGGGGTCATCCTTTAGGTTTCTTTCTTAGTAAGCAGTTTCAATGCTTTGTGTCTTCACCTGTGTGATGTTCCCCCCAGCCAAGTGGGAATAGTCACCTGGGATGAGTAGTGCCTTGATTATTTTATTTTTTGACCTTGATCTAAGCTGTATAAAAGACGATAATGTTTCTTCTTAGACAGGTAACCCAATGACTTCTTTCAGAAGAAAGTTTTTTTCTTTTTTTGCCTTAATCCTGACGCTTATCAGCATTGATGGAAGTAGGATGTGCAGAACAACTGTAATGACAGAATCCCAGGACCTCCAGGACTACAGAATGGGGAATTGTACAATGGGGATTTCTGGTCTGTTTAAGCCACTGAATTGCATTATTTAGAAGTGTATTGGGTGCCGTGTGATACAGAAAATGTAATTTTGAGCCTTCCATACGAACAGAGTTCATTAAATGGTAACAAACAAGTAGGAAGGGTGGAAGGGGGCAAAGAGATAAAACTTTTGAGCTTGGGTCAATTCAGAGCTGTGTTACTGTATTCAATTATAGTAAATCTAATGGTAGGTGTTTGATATTTTAGCATTGCAGATGTGGGAGTAACAGAGAAATATGAAGACTTGTTAACACTTTTGCATGTTGTTTAAGGGTATTTTAAAATACTGCTTTGTTCTAGAAGTTACAGATTCTGAAACAGCTCAGCGTCAGAATTTCTCAGCGTTAAAATCATGAGACAATATTAGTTCTAAATAAAAGTTCCTTAAGTTGTGTCCTCCCAGACGTGTATCCCTTGAGCATTACCATCAGAACGCAGTATTTCAAATAACTTCAGATTCTTGAAGCAGATATAACAAGAGCTTTTGGGTTTGCTTAGTAATTAAAACTCGCTGAACTGCTCGGTAAGAAAACTGCCATTTCCTGTGTGCAGCCCTGAGGCAGAAACATTGGGGTGCTACCGCAGGTTGCCTTTGGGCCAGACTCTTCATCTGCATCTCTTGGCTTTTCTAATCCCCTTCTCCTCAGTGCCTTCCTTGGCTGTACAACCAGTTGTTTGTCTGCTGGAGCAGAGCTTGTGTCCCTCCTATGAGGTAAGGGGGGATGCAATTTCTTCTTGTGGGTTTGGAGACTTGTTTTTCCCTTTTTTGGGATAGCTGGAGAACAGTTACGAGCATTATCTAAATCTTTGGCAAGATGAAAACAAGACCCTAACTGAAGATTTGTAGACCTTGCTTGCCTTGAGTGTGTAAGAGAGTGTTTTTCAGCTTTCCACCTTGTACCAGGAGGGGAAGGGCTGTCAAACTCTGTGGTCTAAACTAGCATCCGTGTACTACAGGACAGTCAGGATTTGATCCTGTTATGTCTTCATTTGTCTAATCTGTTTTTCCCTGAAGTGGTGGGGATACCTGTTTCTTCTATGAGATTTATTCAATGTTTAGAACTGTTTTGGTTTTTTTAAAAAATGTAGTAAAGCTTAATGTACTTGCTGTTATTGAGGCCATAGAGTAAACGAGCCTGGGTGAGGTATTACAAGGTACTAAAGGGCTCTTAGGGGTTGCTCTAGACCAGTGCTTTGAGTGTCACCTGAAGTTTTTGGGAAGGGGAGACTGCTACATGAAAGGCTGCAAGAGTTCTATGTCCTGGGCTCCAAATATGACTGCAAATAACTTTGTTTTCCTGAGGGAGAAGAGTAGCTTTCATGGATCAGGCTTTTCAGCCCCCGCTTGTTAATTTATTTATGTTAAAAGGCACGAATGTGTTCAGACAGCACGGTCGCTGCTGCTGAGATTGCCTCTCCCAGTCAGAAGAGGTTTAATCATACGTCCCGTCAGGCTCTAGCTGTTCTGTCTCTGCTCAAGGTTTTTCTTTCACTTTTTTCCTAAACCCAGGAGCCAGATGAGACGAGTTCAGTGATCAGATGGGTCCCCATCGTGGACCTGGGACCATTGGAGTACAGAGAGACGGAGAAGAAGAGGGAGACGTGATGAGCATAAACCCAGGAGCCAGATGAGACGAGTTCAGTGATCAGATGGGTCCCCATCGTGGACCTGGGACCATTGGAGTACAGAGAGACGGAGAAGAAGGAGACCTGATGAGCAGTTGTATGGTCACCTACAAATTTGTTCTAGAACAAAGCTCTAATAACAGTTAACTTTTAAAATATCATTGGAAAGGCATAGCTTAAGAAGAAAGGGTTTTAGTCTTTCTAGCACCTGGCTGGACATCATAACTTGGCAAATTCTGGGGTAATCCTCTGAGGGCATTGGGGGCTTTACGTAAAGCCGAAGGATCGTTTTGGGTGTGTGCTGCGCTGTTTGCAGTTAGCTTTCCTTATCGGCTCCAAGGAGTTCAGAGGATACGTGGAGCTTCCAGTTAAAGTCACGGAGGCTGTAGTGGCGGTTTTCGTTAGGGTGCTCGTGTGAAGTCAGGGATACGCATCCCTAAGAGTGAAGGAAGAGATGTCTGGGTGGGGGCAAGTTCCAGCTGAAAGGGAAATAGTGAGCTTTAGTAGCTAACAGCAGGCAGCAGTGCTCCTGCGATCCGTTTTATTTGCAGTGAGGACCAATATTGTTTCTGAAATGTTTGATTGTGTTATTGTTGAGGAGTTGTGTACTAGCAGCTAGTGCTGTGGCATAACTGTCCATAGCCTTGTACACGGTAAGTGCAAGTTTTCCATTCTTGTACTCGCTCTATTCACAAACTTGGTGATGAATCTTAACTTTGTATACATTTTTTAATAGGGAAACAAGTACAGAGCATGATGTAAGCGATGAAGTTCTTTTAATTTGCTGTGGGCAGTGGCTTTGGGGCTTTTTTCAAGCACACGTGTCACCACGAGATGGCTCTGCTGGTGCTGCGTGGTGCTGCTGGACGGACATTGCACAGCAGAGCACGGCATCCTCCCCGATACGGAAACACAGCACAGCTCTGAGCCTAAAACCAGAGGCTAAACCACAACATTTCCCTTTCCTTTTACCTCCCTTTCCACACTAGGAGTAAGCACCTTTCTTGCAGAAGACAGCAGGCTTTGCTTTTGCCAGAGAAGGTTTAAACACTTTGTTGCCTATGAAACTGAAGATGGAGAATGTTCCATATACCCCAGCATTTCAGAGAGATTAAAAAAAGTCAGCAAATGATGTTAAGATACTTGCATTTTTATCTTATATGATAAATGAAACGCCTGCTCCCTCTCAGAATCTGTCCATCCCCATTCCTGCCCCAAAGTTGTTAAAACTTCTGGTTAGTATAAATCCCTATATTGTCTTTTTGTACAAAAAACAAGTATTGCATGTGATCCGAGAGCACTCTCAGATTTGTCGGCCGCTAGTTCAGAGACCCAGGTGATGCCGAAGGAGCACTCCTAATCTGTGCGTGGTTTGGATGCTCTGCCCCAGATTTCAGCTGCTTTCCCAGCAGCTCGTGGCCTCGCTGCAGAAGCTGCAGGTTCGTTTCGGCACAGGGCCTTGTACCAGAGCATGGTTCAGTGGGAGGGGGTGTTTTGGTGCTTTTTGTTTAAAGTGCACATTGTGTTGTAAAGCTGCCTGGCTCTCGGCTTGAGTCGCTTAACTACAGAATATACCTCTATTTTCTGTAGTATTGTCTGTTAGTATTGTCTTGGTAAGCCAAAGCAAAGCATTCTTGAAGCTTTTTCCAAGTTTTATGAACTAAAACGGTGAAATCAGTTGTTATAGTTCACAATGCAAAATTAATCTTTCTCTAGCTCAATTGCTTTACACTGATTTAGCACCACTCAGGTAATATTTGTGCTCAGTTAAGTGCCCTTCACTGGGGGTTCTCCAACGTCTAGGCATCCTGGATTCAATCCCATTGTAGGCAGTGATCAGATGAGACGATTAAGAGTGTGAAGGTGGGATGAGGGGAGAGGGATATTCATGGAAGTTAGTGTGGCAGGTCTCCTTTTCCCACTCGTGGCTGCGTATGTGTCTGGGCTTCTGTTAGTGCCCTCTGACGGCATGCGTGCACTTCGGAAAGCCCTGACATCCCCGAAACACAAAACCAAGCAAGCCTTGGCTTCCATTTAAATTCAAATTCTCTTTAATTCTCATGGTTAGAGAAGATTGAGAATCCAAACCGAGTGTTTATGTCCTTTTGGGAGGCCAAAGGGCAAGCACAACTCTAAGCCTTTTTGGGTTTTTGTCTAAGCTCTCTGACAAAGTTGCGATCAACCAAGTCTGCACGCACAAATGTGTGCCAGGATGATAAAACACACAAAACCAACTCTCATCCACAACCCCTCCGCCCCACCCTGGCCTGCCAAGAGCTCTTTTCCACTTGTGCCCTCTGGTATCCCAGACCTATGGAGCAGGCTGCAGGTCTGATGGTGAAAACGTGCTCAGTTGTGGTTATGCTGCCGTGTGTGCTGTGCCAAGTCACTGCTGGAGATTAGGGGGTTTATATGGGCACTGTCCATTTGCTTGAGATTATCGGTTTAGCGAATGCTGCCTTAAATTTGTTTATATAAAAACAACCCTTTGATCCACTAGCTAGCTGCAAATACTATCTTGTGATTCTGATGAGGATTATGTAGTTACAACATCTTGACATGTTTCTGGTTTTATGCAATTTGGAATATGAGGGGAGGAGACCTGGCCCTGGGAAGGTTGCTGGGTACATTCACACTTGCACTCTAGCTAAAGAAAATAAGTTTGATTTGCTCCGAAGGAGCTGACCTTCAGAGACATAAAAACTACCAATGCTGGGTGAGTTGTTTGATTTGACCTGATTTTCTGGAAGCTTGTCTTCCAAAAAGGTAAAACTGTAAAGGAAAACATTTTACTTGCTTTCCATCCTTCCCAAGAGGCGCAGGAGGAAAGACGTGGCATTTCTGATTCTTCTGCCCATTTGGGAACCCACCGTTGAGCTGAAAATCTTCTAGATTTTGCTCAGTTGAGTGTTTGATTTGCAGAGACCCTGGCTTGGCCGAGCACACGGTGCACGTGCAACGGTGTTCTGCTCATCCCTGTGTGTTCGCAGAGCTTTTGGAGAAAGTTAAAAGCTGTTGCCTATGCAAGACCTGCTTGCAGGTTCTTCTGCCGTTCTTACAACTGGAGCTTTTAGATCACTTCCCCTCGCGTGGCTCTGACGGCAGAGAAGTGACCTGCAGCTAACAGGGTGTGCGCAGAGGAGAAGGAGCTACTGCGGTTACTGCTCAGCACGTCGAGAGGGAGAG